AAATAATATTGAGTAAAATTAAATAAATAAAAGCTAAATGCTAAAATGAGCAAAACAGTTAGAGCAAAAGATTAACTAATCAAAATTTACCACAACTGTAGGTAAAAGCTAAAGAAATATAAAACATTATAAGGGTCTAGTTTACATTTCCCCAGCAGTAAGTTGGACCTCTTCAGGGTGAAAGCCCAACTTTGATTACGTGGACTAAATTTCTCAGTACAGACGCAGGTCAGAAGGGGTTCAGTTTGGTGGTTTCAGGAGTTAGTCTCTTCTACTTACAGATTATGTGGTCGTGTTGGCATCATTGTGTCTGGACCTCCAGCTCTTACTGGAACAGTTTGCAGCAAAGTTTGAAGCAGATGAAGATCAGCACCTCGGAGAGAGACACTGAGCAGAGGCACTGCTCCTCCACATCCAGAGGAACCAGTTGAGGAGGTTTGGGCATCTGATAAGGATGCCCCCTGTACTGTATGCATCCCTGGGGAGGTGTCATGGACACATTCAACTGGGAGGAAATCTTGGGGAAGACCCAGGACAAAATGGAGACACTATGTCTCTCAGCTGGGAGTCCTTCCAGAAGAGCTGGAAGAGGTGACCATGAAAGTGATGTTTGAGCCTTTTTTCTGAAGCTGCTGCACCTGTGACCTGACTGGTGAAGCAGCAGGTGATGGATGGGTGGATGGATGGATGGATGGATGGATGGATGGACAGATGGATGGATGGATGGATGGATGGACAGATGGATGGCTTAACTCAATCTAAAATTTGCAACAGGCAAAACCCCAACTAAAAACTAAATGTAGCAAAACCCCTAGCAAATCTGCTGAAGAAGATTGCAAAGAACAATGCTTATGAATAGATCTCAATGTATTTATAGGGAATTTTTTGTAAATAAAGTTTAATCATTGCAAAAGCTTAAAAGTTACAAATATTGTCACATAGAGGAACAAAAGAAGAAGATCCCTGGATTCGTAGGTAAGATCGGAGGTGGAGGAATGACATCATCATCATCATCATAAAATTGTCTATGAGCTTCATCCCATTAACTTTCAAATTGCTCCCTTGTGTTTATGTGCTTTCCTTTAGAAAAAACAGTAGACGCAGGATAGGTACACTTTTGGAAGCTAGGGAATGAGGATAGACTTCAAGATAAAAAAAACAGGTTAAATATTTTTGTGAAAAACATTTTTCAAACCTAATTGTTTTATTACATATATGGATATGTTGCATGCAGATATGGCTTTATTGAACAATTAAAAAAGCAAAAAATAAAAAAGCTACACCTTTGAGCTTATCAATAATAAAATAATTTTTAGAGAGCCACGCGTAACATCTCAAAGTATAAATGTTTTATTGGTTCTGCATAGGACAATAAAGTAGTAATGGTGCCTGATTATTTGTAGGTTTTAAATAGCTATGGCTAGAATCATTGCCCCCGCTTGACCACAGTTTGCTTAGAGCCCTAAAACATAAAAAACTATCATATTTGACATGTTGCATGACCACTCCAGAGTTAAAACACTTGAAAATGCCATCCTCTACAGGAAGCCCACTAGGAATAAAATTTAAAGCAATCCCCGTTTCATAAGACACAGATTGGACAAGAAACGGCAACTGRTTTCAAAATATCACATCAAACCTATGATTAGGTCAAAAAGTGGTCTGTGGAGAAATACACATGCTTATAAGCCTTTATTTTATTTCCAGCTGGGAAATCTCAATTTCCAAATTCTATTTAAGATTTCTTCCTTATAATAACATCAAAAATTCCTCCTTAGAATTACCTAAAAATAGGATTCATACTAAATATTAATAGGTTATCCTGGACTCACAATATCCGGAGCATATGTATCAAAATGTAGCTTAAAAACAGGAGTCTGAAAATGAGCTTCATCATTTTGACCTAATCTGACTTAATCCTCAGTTTGATGTTATGGACCACAAATGTGAGGAGAAAAGCATAAAACAAATTAGGTGTAAGAGGTAATTAGCACCTTTTTATCACCTGCAGCCAAATGGGGAATAATTTTGCTCATGTKGGGTTCATGTGTCTGCATGTTACCAAAATATCTCCCGAACCACGGGATAGATTTTAACCAAACTTGCAGAACATGACAACATTTCTCAGCAGGAAATGCTCTTAGTCAAAAATTTATGAAATGTTGCAGACAATGCATTTTTTTTTTTACGGAATGCTAGGCCTCGTTACGCAAAAAAGGACGATGAGGAGAAATGAATTCAGTCATCAGTCTGCGCCACAACGATCCTCTTCAAGTGGGCAGTTTATCAGTGACATAAGTTTTCCTCCTGAGGGAGTCAGCTGGGTCTTGAGCTGAAACAGCTGCTCTGAGACTCCCAGACTCTGCAGCAGGTCAAACAATGACTTCTTACAGCTTTTTATTGGGACTGGAAGGGGAAATGTTTGGTTTGTGTGCAAGACAGCTGAACAGAAAAAAAGTACAATGTTCTTCCACAGATAAATGAAAAAGAGAGACAGAAGTAAAAAGGGGAGGCAAAAAAATAACAGCAGGATGCATACATCCACATCCTCTTAACAGAGGCTCCACCTGGAAAGGTCGTCTAGTTGAGGATAACAAGGCTGTCTGAGAAGCGAGAGTCCTGCTGTGTGTCCATCAGCTTCAAATAATCCCTGCTGCTGCTGAAGTGTCCAGGTTTCACGTGTCCAACCCCCTTCCTGTTCAGAGACACCCCTGACTGCTGTTCCACGGCAAACCTCAGTGAATCTGTTCCTGTCACTCACAAAGAGGCCCGTTCTGTGCCTCTATTACTCACAGATCCAAACATATTAAACGGATAAAAATAAATAATAAAAGTCAGCACAGGACATTGTTGAGGAAAAATAAATTAGATTTAACAAAAGGCAGTTTTACTAAACTCTCTCTTCGTTTATGGGCTGAGACTGTATGAGGTGGTGTAAGGTACAAAACTCCACTTTACCAATTCTTACTGCACTGGAATTGATTAAAATGATAGTTTAGAGGTTTCTACGTAACTGATGAGCTAAAAACCTTCACATCATCATCAGTTCAAAGTGTTAAATTCTGCAAGAAATGATATATTACTCCTGGAAGTACCACAAGCTGCACTGGAAGTGATAAAGCGGCTGCTGCTGTCAATTTTTGCATCAAATAACCTGAAAAGTCAATGTAAATGATTGCATAATGAGAAACTGACAGCAGCAAACTGGACCATCTGAGTGGTTCCAGCCTTCCATTTATGAGTTTTTAAAACTCAGAGTTAGCTTTGAGAGGAGCGTACTTCAGCTGCAGTTACTAAACTATGGAAAGACATTACTTTACCTCATCTCTGTATTACTGAAGAATTTTTTTCCTTCAACCTTTGACACGTTGTGAGATGTTAAGTGCATTTTTTAAAAAMCGATTTCATGTCATTTTATCCTATTTTGCTGTTTGTCTTGTTTCTTTTTTG